ACTCCAGCAGCAAGTAATATATCCATTGGAAGTGTTGTAGAATAGAACCACATGTCACCATCACTGATGCAAAGAGTTGTTGGAAAACGATGAACATTATATTTGAATTTGTCAACAGAAAGGCAAACAATAACAGCTGGCAATGGAAGTAGTAGAGCTTTATAAATGAAAGTGATCATTTCACAATTAATAATTATAATCTATACTCACATAAAATGGTTACAGTTGCAAATATATACTTTTCACGGCCCAGCTTTTCAAATCTATTTGCTTGGAAGGGAAAAAATACTTTGTGAAAGAACATAGCAACATGAAAGAACCACCACAGTGCCATATTTACAATAACATAATGAAATACAACTCCTATACAATGAGGATAAAAGTTTTAAATTACTGTGTATCTTTACCTGAAAATTTACAAAAAGGAGTTGGATTATTTAATGTCTCCAATAGACTAACTGAACTGCAGTATAATCCATACCGATCAATAGCAGTTATGATTAGTACTATAACTATAATTTGAATATATACAATGAACGTAAAATTGCAATGCACTTTACCCAATACAGTCATGTCTATAACTTGATAAAATACCAATACAGAAGGGTATACAAGCCTGTCATATAATAACAAAACTATATGAGGAAATACTTCATAATAGACACTAACGATGTTTTGTATTCCTTAACAGCAGCTATAATTGCAATAACGCAAAAAATTAAGCCCATACTAGTTGCAAATACTTCTGAATAGATCATTATCAGTGCATCTAAATGAGAGTTTTGTTCAAAACTGTCACATCTTGGCTCACAGATTAAATTCGTTTTAACAAAATCTTCTCTGCACACCATACCATCAGTACCATTGGTATCATTCATGCCGTCAATGGGAATTGTGACAGAAGATGAATTTTTGGCAGCTGTATAAAGTATAAATTATTAGAAATAGATAAAATTAATCTTGCCATTTGGTAGTGTAGTACAGTCAGGTAAGAGTGAGCCATACCCAATGCTGTTTGCTAGTGTCCACAGGTCTGAACAAACACCTGTACTTATGAGGAGGCAGTCTTCCTTGGTAGCCTTGTACGATTTTCCAGTTGAGCAATCAGCAAGAGGAAAGAAATATTGACATATGAAAGCTGATGATTGTTGTTGACATTGCTTCATTTGCTTGTAATTTTCTACAAATAACATTGATTGATTGATGAAAAATTTATAAACTAAAGTCATTACCTAAAAAAGTATTGAGTGATGCAATTGTCTGTTGGTGTTGATTTTGTTCTTGTTGACTTATTCCAATATTTAATTCACCTTTTCCAATGGTACATTGAAACCATTGATGTAAGAAGTTTCTACAAGCAGTTCCAGTATACTCATGACATTCTGAGGCATCATTATCCTGACTCCATGATAGTCTGGTGCAGTTCTGGCTTACATTATTGTCGTTGATTGTTCCTTCGCTAAAATTCCCATCGTTGTTGTTGTCTGAATCATATGTATTCTAAATTGAAAGTTTGCTAAAGCCAGACTTCAACATTTTATACTTAGTAGATGTTTATTGATGCTATTGTTTTTCTAAAACTATCATGGTTCACATAGCTTGTAATCAATGTTTTTGATAACTCAAATCATTGCAACTTATATCTATTTACAAAAGAATGCTATTCTCCCTTTTTTGCACTAAACTGGAGCAAAAATCTATTGTGGAACAAATTTAAAGTTCTTTATCTAAAATCCAGATTGTATATTATACAATTAAGTGATACTTCATGCTTATAGTGCAAGCATGCCAACCTGTGGTGTCATACTACACATCCTCAGATAGCTCAAAGGAATTTAGATATACTACTTATGTATTATTGTAAAACAATGAAGTTTAAAATAAACTACTTTAAATTACACACGCTATAGAGAAATAAGCATTAGATTTATATGCATGCAAGAATTTTTTTAAGATATCACTTGTAGACTAGATCTAGTATCATTCTTGAAAACTTACTGAAGTAGATCTATAGTAGACTATTATTGGAACTGTGAATAAGCCCAGCACCACAATAAGAAGAACAATAAAAACAGCATCCTCAATTTTCTTTGCAATGGCCAACTTCATTCTTTTACTGCACATCTTGTGATGCACAGTTGATGCACTATTTGCGATATTTATAACTTCTCTTGTGGTCTTGCCCCTCCCCAAGTAAAATAGATTGTCACTATCTGTACAATGTGTTAGTTTATTTGCTGACAGTGTAGTTTTAGTATTTAAGGTTAAGCTGTAGTGCAAGAACATTGATGTGTGCATTGAAAATTTAAAAAATTTTAGGTACTTTTGGAGCAATTTAAGTATTTTCAGAATTTTGACATTTTCTTAAAATGGCTGTAACTCAAAAATTGAAGTCGGAATCAACTCAAACTTTCTACACAGCATAAGGGCATTAATGTGTATGAGAGAATGTAATAAAAATTAGGGTGATTGCCCATATAGAAATTTCAAGCTTGTTACAAGCTTGTTACAACCAGTTCACAAGCTTGTTACAAGCTTGTTACAGCCAGTTCACAACCTTACAAGGTTGTAGCAACCTAGTAACAACCTTGTATAAAAGTGCTGAAGTTGTGACTAACGTGTTACAAACATAACAACCTTGTGACAAGATTGTCTGAAGGTTGACAGGAAACTGAGGTTTCATTAAGTGCGGCCCACGATGATATGAAGCTATTGCTACCATATATAAGGGGACCATTGACCAGCCCTTGTACAAGTCAATAAAGATAAGATTAATGCATATCCATATCTTTACACACAAGCTACATATTACATTATCATATACATGAAGTATCTAGAAATCAATTCAAACTATATAGGATTAGGATGACAATATTAATTATGTGTTAATTGATAGGCTTCCAGATTATAGCTATTGAATTTATTGTACATTATGACAAGGTTGTCACGTGGTTGTCACAAGGTGGAAAACGTGTCAATTCCAGGGTTTTTACAAGGTGGTGGGCCTTGTGGCCAGGTAGGGACCACCTTGTGACCACTTAGCTTGTTACAAGGTTGCCACAACCATGCTGCAACCTTGTTTTTTCTATATGGGTTTGAAGCCATTTTTTAGAAAAAACCATTGCTATATAAATTATAGCATCAACGTACTGGACTAGGTAGTTAAAGAGAATGACCCATTATTGATAAAAAATAACTTTAAAACTTATTGTTTGGCCTAATTCAACATTTTACATATTGCACACAAAAATTATCAGTAGTTATTAAAAGTCAAGTTTTGCAGTGTTTTCACTTATCTCTGCACTTTTATCTGATTTTGACGAATTCTCATCTGGAACACTTTCAGAGGAAGTTATGAAAGAACTTTTTCCACGGTACAAGAAACTTGAATACCTCTTTGTCAATTTTACTGCTTTGTTTCCAGTGCTTTTAACTGAGCTCCACTTGAGTATGAAGTTCAAAACGCTCAATGGTATCAAACTCATTAGCATGTACACAATGATACTCATGTAAGGGCTCTCTTCAAATGTTCCTCTATCACATTTTCCAGGGACATAACCAAATGCCTCGCATTCAAAGTATTCTCTTAAAGCTGCTTGAAACTTGCCAGATTTTGCTGTTATGTCACTTACATGCCCTAAAATAAAAACACCAAAAATAATAAAAGATGTGAAAACCAAGAGAATTTTTTTCTCTGCAGTGCTGAGCTGGGTACGACTTTTCTTTTTCAAGAAATTAGTTTTCTATCAACAAAATTAGAGAATTTATATAAATTCATAATTTTAGTATACGTACTTTCCTGATAGTCCAAAGAATTATAATTAGCATCATAACACCAAAAGCAAGTAAAATGTCTATTGGAAGTGTTACAGAATAGAACCACATTTCACCATCGCTGATGCAAAGAGTTGTTGGAAAACGATGGATATTATATTTGAATTTGTCAACAGAAAGGCAAACAATAACAGCTGGCAATGGAAGTAGAGTACATTATCAATGATCGTACACCATCAATTTTCGGACACTTGTTTTAGGAAAACTATACATTTCCATCTCATGAAACTGCAAAGTATTATAGCAATAGTTATCCTTTATTTGCGTGACAAAACTTGTAGCTCTAGCAAGAGTGCATAGAAAGTTATAAACTCTCAAAGCGTGGTGTCCGACAATACCAATGATCGGCCAAAATTCTCAATCTTCGGACTGTCATTTCTGA